ACTCCTTGATTTCAAGGCCACCTTTGTGTCTCTGCTCCCCTCAGGTGACCTTTGGGTTACGTAGCATTCCAAACACACCATTTCCCACCTTTTCCCAAGTATTCTCGGGATAAACACAGCAGCCAGAGGCACCCAGCTGGTGGAAAAACGAGGTTTTGTGGAGTTTGACTCTTGGGTTGGTCTCCAGCCTGGAAACCATCACTCCTTAAGAGGACTTTATTCCATGGGGTGTTTTTTCCACTCGAGGCTGAGGTGGCACTGTGGCATTCTGGGGGGGATGAGGGATTCCATAAAGCAGGATATTGGCCTTTTTTAGGGCATGATCTGGACCATGAGCTGCTCTGCACCCCTGCTGCTTCTTCTGTGGGATACCTTGAGCAGGTCCTGGAGACTCATCCGTGTCTTACCCCATCAAACCCGCTGAGGAAGAATTTTTCTCCCCTTGCCACTGGGAGTTTTTCATGTTTTTGAGTAAAACTGGCAACACATATTTTTAGAGAAGCTGCTCTTAGTGGACAAACAGGGACCTCCATGATGGACCACACAGGAGGAACTTAAAAGGGAGGAAGAGCTTCCCTGGTGTTCATTTAGGTTGGAAATGCTGGTTTGGGAAGGATTCCAGCTTCTCTCTACGGTCAGGTTGGTTTTAACCTGTTTAGACATGGGATTAAAATCTGTCTCTGGCACAGAAACTGGCCTGGTTTAGGGTTTGGTTTGGGTTTGGTAACAAATTTGATTTATATCTAAGGGGAAATGATAATTTGCAGTGATGGTAACAGTTAATATGGAGCTTGGGCTGGTGGATTCCCAGATTTCAGTGTGTCCCATGGATGTTGTAGATGGATTCCCTGGTAGTTTTCACGCTGATTTTCCAGGTCCAGCCCAGAAATTATTTTACATCCTGTTCTTCCATTCTATCCATAAACCACATATTGACCCCCTAATCCAACAAAAACAGTGTTTAAACCCATTCTCTCCAGCCTTCTTGATGTTGCATGTCAGATAATGAAACCCAATCCATAAATATTAATGAAAGAAATAAAACCCTAAGAAAACCTTCAGTGTTTAATTTCAGACGTGCCTCCCTCCCCCCTAAAAAAAAGCAGAAAAACCAAGACACTTCTTTTTTATCACTTATTTTTATTTAATTACTTATTTTCTTGGGAAGAAACCTCTTCTTGGAGCACTTAAACCTCTGATTTATCCTCTGCATTCAGGTTCCAAGCTTGGCTTGCTTTCTGTATCCCCACAACCCCCATTGCTGAAGATGCAACCCCTCACTGGTGTAGACTGGGGAAGTGTTTTATTCCGTAGGAAAATGGGGTGGCAGGGATTGTTCTTGGGTGATAAAGCAGCTCTCACCCCGGAGAGAAGCACCTGAAGGGGCTGAACATTTATAAAAGTTACTTTATGAAGCAACAACCCAGTTAGCATGACAAATACTCTAAATTTTGTGGCATTTATAATTCATTGATGCTGAGCCTTTATTTGCCAAAGCTTATAAAATATACATTTGTGGCTCGCTGAGCGTTCCCAGCAGTTATTCCTTGGATTTATCGTGGCTGTTCCCTTGAACTCTGCCTTGCCCAGACTTTCCTGCCAAACTGGGACCTGTATTTCTGCAGCCTCCATTGGGTTTTCTCCGTTTGAGTTCCATTTTTACCCTGGGTTTCTGCTGTTTTCCACTGGGAAAGAAGGCAATGGAAGATTAGTTAATACAGTTTGCTCAGCTCTTCCAGCCAGGAATTAATTTCTGTGTTTTGCCTTAATTTTGTCGTGGCCTAAAGGAGCTGTTTCTGAAGAAGTGTGCCCAGAAAACCACGGGATGCTTTTGGCTTGAGTGAAATCTGAGCAAATAAACCAGCTTTTCCTCCCTGGACTTTGGGGGAAAAATGCAGTGTTTCATCCAGAGTCCTTTCCTCCAGGGGGAAACTCCATGCTGTGGTCCCTGGAGGGAAGGCCTGGCCGTGGCACTCAGTGCTCTGGGCTGGGGGACAAGGTGGGCATCGGGCACAGGCTGGATTTGATGACCTTGGAAGTCTTTTCCAGCCTTAGTTATTCTGTAAAAAGTCTAAACCCAAAAAGATTCAAGTTCTAAGCCCAACTTTGGTGTGTTAAAGTAGGTACCTAACTTTTTTAATTCCTTTGCTACTACAAAGGTGGGATGGGAATCTTTATTACCTATTTTAAAGGCTTTCTGGGAATTCTTTGACCAGTATATTTTGAGAAGAGCCGGGGGGGGGGGGGCAGGCTCTGCTGCCAGGGAACAAGGGACAGGAGGAGAGGGAACGGCCTCCAGCTGTGCCAGGGCAGGCTCAGGTTGGCCAGGAGGAGGAATTTGTTGCTGGAAAGGGTGGTGAGGCCTTGGCAGGGGCTGCCCAGGGAGGTTTGGAGTGCCCAGCCCTGGAGGTGTCCCAGGAAGGCCTGGCCGTGGCACTCAGTGCTCTGGGCTGGGGGACAAGGTGGGCATCGGGCACAGGGGGGACTCGGTGACCTTGGAGGGCTTTTCCAACATCAGTGATCCTGGGATTCTATGAACTTCTGCCAAAATGTTTCTTCAGAGCACTTTTTACAACGGTACCAGATGCACCTGAGGAGGCCTTGCTGCCTGAAAGCAGGAGAGGCTTCTCGTTATTTTTATTGACATGTGCCATAAACAAACCCTTGGGCACCTCCCCTGCCTGGCACGGGGCTCTCAGGCTGAACAGGCAGGAATAATTTGGTCAGAAGGGCAAAGCACACGGATGAGTTGGTTTGTGTCAGCCCAGGAGGACTGAAGAGGAAGAGCAGTGTCAGAGGATGGGGAAGGATGGGTCGATCCAAGCAGGAAAACCAGGAATTGGCTGTGAAAGAAATGGCTCAAAATGCATAAAGATGAAGATGTGGATGGAGGGAATGAGGGGGAGGTCAAGTGGAATGAAAGCTCTGTGGGATTGGGCTCCCAGGGAAGGAGCAGAGGAATGTGGTTTGGATGTTGGAAGAAGGATTTGAATGTGATTAGAGCTCAGGGGAAAAAGAAGAGAGTAGACACGAGATGCCAAATTAAGAGGCAGGTTTAGATGCTTCAAAGCTCAAATTTGTTCTTCTTCCATTCCTCGTGTAAAGTTTGGATGGACTCATGGGAATATACATAATAATATTTGCAGTCATTAGATCTTTGGGTGCCTACAAAATTCCACTTGAGAGGTTCTGACCCCAACACCTCCTAAAATCAGGCCCTTTCAAGGAGTCTCATCCTGGATGCTCAGAAATGTCCATCCTCAAATCTGCTCTCCAGAGACACCCCATGTAACAAGGAAAACTCTCTGGGTTCCTGTCCAGGGGCTCCTCCAGGATTTTTTTTTCCTCTTTCCACTCTGGCACATGAAAAGAGGAAAAAATACAGCGTTTTTTAGATCCAGTGGAGTCTGTTCAGGGTCAGGGCAACCCACAAATTAGAATTCCTGACACACATTCTCCTGTCCCCTTATTTGAAGTGCCATGATAATATTCAGGATTTGTGGTTCTGGTAGAGAACTTTTTTGTTTGTTTGTTTGAGGTTTTTTTGGTTGTTTTGGTTTTTTGTTTTGTTTTGGTTTTGTTTTGGTTTTTGTTTTGTTGTTGGTGTTGTTTCTTGTGGGTTTTTTGAGGGGTTGGGGTTTTTTTGGTTTTTTGTTTGTTTTTTTTTGTTTTTGTTTGTTTGTTTTTAATTTATTGATCTTCTGGAGAGTCTGAGGATTATTAATTACTAACCTGGTGCTTTTATTTACCCATATTTTTTTGTTTAGGTTGCTGCCTAACTAGATGTATTTTAAGGAACTCACCTAATTAATTCTGTATTATAGTTCACTCAGATATTTTTTAGATTTTTTTAAAAGATTTTAAATATATTTTTTATTTTTAATATATTTTTATATTTTTAATATATTTTCCTATTTTTAACATATTTTTCTATTTTTAATATTTTAATTTTTTTAATATCTTTTACATTTAACTTTTTTCCTTTTCATTAATATCCCCCTGTGCCCAATGCTCCCAAACCAAAGAGTTGTTTTCTCCTGTTGCTTTTCCATGAGCCTCTGCCTGTTTATTTTCCTGTGGGATTCTCCTGTCAGTCTGGAAGTGGCACCAAAAAGGTTGGGTGTAAAGATAAATAAATAAACACAGTAAATAAACACAATACCCTTGAAAGAAAACACCTCAAGCTTATCCAAATTCAAGGATTTGAATGAATTCCTCTCAAATCATCCCTGTTTTTACATTCTTTGGGATTAGAAGCCCTGATGGTCTTTGCTATGCCTTCAAACAACACCTGAGCCAGAGGGTTTGGGGGGGGCTGGATATAAATGGAGAGTCTTTATTTAGAAAATATTGGGAAAAAAATATTAGGGAATGTTGGCTTTGAGGTTTTTTGGTGATGTATAAATGCAAATTGCCTCTGCTGGGGTGATCCAAGGGATGGAAGTGTTGATAAACTGTGACACGGATTTAGCAGGGAATATTCCACACAATAAGGCAAAAAAAAAAAAAAAAGAAAGGCAGATTAAACTACTGTAATAACAGGAGAAGAGAAAGAAATTGTTTGTTGAATAAAGCCCTTGCTAGCAAAGCTGGGAAACCACCAAAACCACAAGAAAAAAAAAAAGAAAAAAAAGAGAAGAAAAAGAATTATTGTTACAACGGACATATTATTGCAGTTTAGCTCATGTCTTGTATTCCCTTATGAAAATTCCTCTGTCCTGTTGACGTGCTAAAAATGGATTTAGGCTGTGAGGATAATTCATCTGGGCAAAAGCTGGCACTGGCACAGCCTGAGGAAAAATGGGCAAGCCAGAAACTGTTGCAGTTTAATCCTTACATCCCTTGACACAGGACAATCTTTAAGTCCCAGCTGGTGTTCGGGCTGGGAGAAAATTGGTCCGGGGTGATTTTATCCCACAGAACTGCCAAAGGATCCCCTGGAAAACAGGCTCTGCTTGGGTTTGCTCATCTTCATCTGGTTTTTTTTTCTCCCTTTACAGACACACTATGAAAGTGGAGAGTACATCATCAGACAAGGAGCTCGAGGGGACACCTTCTTCATCATCAGCAAAGGGAAGGTGAGCTCACACCCTGCAGGGCTGCTGGTGCTGCCCTGCTCCCAAAACTCAGCCCCAGCCTCTCCCTCCCTCCCCTCCCCCGGGCACAAATGTGGCAACACTTGACATTTAATTAAACTTCTGGCACTGTACCAGCAGAGAAGAGCAACCTGAAGGGGAGAAAAATCAATCTGCTGCTGGTTTGCTCCCAGGGAACACTTTGGGGTCAAAAACAGTAGTTGAGTCTCTCAGTAAATGAGCAAAAACCCTCTGTTTTTTATTGCCACTATACCCTGCAATACTCAACTAAGAATCCCTCTTACAAGGCTGACTTCCAGACTTCATTCCCATGGCTACCCCTTCTCAGCTTCCCCAAATTGAATAATGAGCAGCCAGGGACGTCTGAGCTCTCTCCTTGGGGAAGGAAGAAGGTCTAAGTAAGTTTCCGTTCCACTGCTCACAGGGAAAATGGGATTTTTGACCTCTTTTCCCCTAAAATCCTGATGGGATTTTATACAAGGTTTTTTTTTTCTTACCTTCAGCAAATTTCTACTATTTTTTTAGCTGGCCTAATACTGTTCCACTTGAGGAACACTGGGCTTCTTTCCACGGAGCAGGATGGAGATGTTCTTGGGAATATACAGTGATTTCCCACTGCAGATGAGATGATACATGGCAAGGAAACACAAATGGATAAATGTGCTTGGAATTAGACCAGGCCCAACCTCCTGCTCCCTGGAGTTGATGTTGGCACCAACCACGTGTCCTTGAGGGGAGGGCAAACCCCATGGCATCCATGGAGGAAGAGTGTGGGTGTGGAGTTGTCTCCCAAGTTTTTTTCCCATCATCTTCCACTCCCTGTTTCCAGGAGCCAGTTCTTCATTAGAAGGAAAAAAAAGGTCTTTCCAGATGAATAGGAATGTCATGGATAAGTTTCTGAAAGGAAGATGATCATGGCCTGAAATCCAAACTGAAGGCCTTTCGCTTCCCTCCACTCAGAAATAATATTCCCTCTTCTCCCAGAATATCCTTTTTTTTTGCCCTTTTTTAATGGTGCATCTCCTTCCCATGTGGAGGGTTTGAAGCCGTGTTGGCCAGTCTGCTGAAACCAGGTTTTTGCCCAACTTGGTCAGTGGATCCCATCCCTTCCTGGCAGTCATGGTTGGGGTTGGAAGGGACCTTAAATATCACCCAGTCCCACCCCTGCCATGGGCAGAGACACTTCCCACTAGCCCAGGTTACTCCAAGCCCCATCCAACCTGGCCTTGGACACTTGCAGGGATCCAGGGGCAGCCACAGCTTCTCTGGGCAACCTGTGCCAGGGCCTCCCCACCCTCACAGGGAACAATTCCTTCCCAGTATCTCATCTAACTCTGGCAGTGGGAAGCCATTCCCTGTGTCCTGTCCCTCCATCCCTTGTCCCAGTCCCTCTCCAGCTCTCCTGGAGCCCCTTTAGGGACTGGAAGGGGCTCTCAGGTCTCCCTGGATCCTTCTCTTCTCCAGGCTGAGGAGCTTTGACTGTCTCAGCCTTTCCTCATGGCAGAGGTGCTCCAGCCCTCTGAGCATCCCTGTGCCATTTTCTGGACTTATTCCAACGTGTCCTCAGTCTCCAAATGGAGTCTCTTGGTTGTAAAAGCCAAATCCCTGTTGCTGACAGCAGCTGAATGTGCAGTTGTTGATCTGCCCCCCCTGCAGCCCTCACCCCTCACCCTCAGGATGGAGGAGGAGCCCAACCCTGCCCATGGCCATCACTCCAGAGCCCTGGGCTCCTGCTGGAAATGCTCCTTGGCTTCATCCCTGGCCTCTGCCCCTTCAGCTTACTGGGAGAGCTGCTGCCCAGAAAAAGGGAGCTAAAATAAAACAAGGCACGTGGACTCGCTGGGAAGTTCCCAGACCCTCAGCTGGAGCCTGATGGCCTGACAGAAATTCCCACAGGGATAGTTAAATTCTTCCCAGTTTTCTCTTCCATTTACAAAAGGGACCCCAGTGGCTGAGGGAAGATGGGTGGAGTTGGAGAGGGTTTAATTTTAATGCCTGTATTAGGGCATAAGTTAGATCCAATCACTAACTCATGCTAAGGATACAGCCAAGGATAGAGGGATGAAACTCAGCAATGAAACATGGAATAACTGATGATGGAATAGAGAATTATGGGATCAGTGGGTGCTGCCTGGCACTTGCTGAAGCCAAGGCACATCATGTCCCATGTTCCCTTTTAAAACCTGACCCAGGCAGTTTAATAATCCAGGGATAATTCTGGGAACAACTCCTGAACCTGGGAATCCATGGACACTGTCTGTGACCAGCACTGGAGCCTGAGCAGGAACTGGGAGAGCTCCTTAGGAAAGCTCTGCCTTACCTTTCGTGTCAGAGTGTCTGGAGTGACTCTCATGGAATCATGGAATGCTTTGGATTGGAAGGGACCTTAAAGCCCATCCAGTCCCACCCCTGCCATGGGCAGGGACACCTCCCACTAGCCCAGGTTGCTCCAACCTGGCCTTGGACACTTCCAGGGATCCAGGGGCAGCCACAGCTTCTCTGGGAAACTTGTGCCAGGGCCTTCCCACCCTCCCAGGGAACAATTCCTTCCCAATATCTCACCTAACCCTGCCCTCTGGCAGTGGGAAGCCATTCCCCCTTGTCCTGTCCCCCCATCCCTTGTCCCAAGTCCCTCTCCAGCTCTTTTGTACCTTTAGGTACTGGAATTCTGCCCTAAGGTCTCCCCAGACCCTTCTCTTCCCCAGGCTGAAGTGAGCAAGGAGATTTTTTGTATTTTTGAGCCCAACACTCCTCAGAAACACTCAGAAAGATTTCTGCTCTGTTTTATTTCAGCCCATCCTCCCTTGATGGTTCTTTTAGGAGCAAGATCTCTCCTCTTTTTCTCTGTCAGCTCCATCCACCCCACTTGACCCCATTCCTGAACTACTTTAGTTCATTTATTTGAGTGGGTTTCCTGGAGTCCAAGTGAGTAGAAGTCAGAAGTGGGTTCAGAACACTTTGAGTGCAGGAATCTGTTGAATGGAAATGGCTCAATCCCTTCTGCTTGTGCAGTGCCTTGCCTTTATCCAGAGGCAGAGTCTGCCATGCTGTGCCATTTCCCACCATTTTCCCATTAAAAGCCATGGTGTGGCACCAGTTTAGTGCTGGGTCAGGTGGGTCCTTCACTGGAGCAGTGGCTGTTCAAGGGGCTCAGAGTTTTGAGCCACACAGAAATCCCTCCACACTCATTGCTTGGGATCCATGGAAGTCATGGAGAAAGAGCTGAAATCTGCCTCAAAGTTCCCTTTGTGTGTCCAGGGGTGTTCCTGGCTCAGCCATCCCACATTCCCTGCCCTCATCTGCTCTTGGATGGGTCATTAATGACTCAAACCCACTGCTATGGTTTAGCCACCCTTTAAGGAGGTGGGAGAAGGTGCAGGGCACAATTGGGAATTTCATGGTGAAATTACACTGGGATGTCTCCAAATCCAAAAGGACGTGTCTGACATCCCACATTTTGCCTTTGGGAACTTCCATGTGGAAAAGCTCTGATTAAAAGGTCTGCAAAGGAGGAGCAGATGAGAGATCTTCCCCTGTAGGTGAGGTACCTGCAGAGAGGGGCTCATCCCAATGAAATCTGGGACAAAATGGGCTTTGGGAATGCCTGCCCCTGTCCACTGACCACAGACAGAGGCTGCACAACTCGATTTAGAGCTGGGAGAGGTGACTCCCACCGTGCACTGCCTGTGAGTTTACAGCAGGGAGACAGTTTGCTTTCCATCAGCAATATCTGCTCTTCTCTTTCACTGCTAAATAAAAAAGAATTAAAAATAAGATGGTCAATTCCTTTAAACTTCAGTGAAAAGCCTTGATTTTTGCTCCAGCCGGAGTCATCCCTCCCCTGAATTTGGGAGCCCAAAGGAGCGGGGGCACCTTTCATCCTGCAGCCTCCAAACTGTTTCATTTTGGTTCTGATTTTTATGACACCTTTCCCTGAGGTGAGAGCTCAGGAGCTCAAGGAATGCTGGGGAGCAAAGCTAACAGGAGCCTGGGCTGTGTGCCTGACTGAGCCACCCCAAAGTCTTGGAACCTCTTTCTGCTGCTGCCTGTTCTTGTGCAGCCAACTCCGTGTTCAGAGTGACAAACATTCAAACCCCCAAAGTGGTGGGTTTTTCCAAGAGCAGGAGGTGCCTTGGTGGGAAATAACTGTTCGTTTCCCTGGATGGTTGGTCAGTGATGCCATGGGAAGAGTGCAGGACTCTGGGGAACGATTCCCAGAGGAGACACAGCCCAGAGATCTGGGAGCTGGTGAATTCCTCTCTGAGCAACCCTTTGTAAACCCCAGTTTTCCTAAATCCTTTTGGCTTTTCCACAGGTGAACGTCACTCGGGAAGACTCCCCCAGTGAAGATCCCGTCTTCCTCCGCACCCTGGGGAAGGGAGATTGGTTTGGAGAGAAAGCCCTTCAAGGGTAAGTGCTCCTGGTGATGCAGTTATTCCATTGACATCATTCCTCAAGGATTTCTGCAGCTCTCAGAGGGCTCTGCCTGCTGAGGAGGAGGTTGGGAGTGGGTTTATTCTTTTGTGATGGGAAGAAAGCCCTCGAGGGGGGACATCAAATCCAGAGATCTTGCCTTGCTGCTGGACACCAAAAAGTCATTTATCTTTGCACTGTCTTTCCCCACCATGCATTGGAGGATCCAAATGTTTGGCTTTTTGCATCTCTGGAGTGTTATTCCCACATGGAAGAGCATGGTTGTGGTTGTCCTGGTGGGGTTGAAGGCAGGGTGGGGGTGGTGGGATTGAAGTTCTCTGGCTGTATTTTCATGGCTTTGGTGGAGGTGGGGGTTGGATGGGAGTGACCTGTTTTATAGAAACCTTTTCCTCTGGGGATAATCCAAAAGAAGAAAAGCTGGAAATCCACATTGGATGGGTGATGGTTACAAAAATAGCCTTGATTTCCATGGGAAGGAATAGGAAGAGCAAACAGGAATTTGGGACACTCTGCCCTTCTTGGGAACTCTGTGAAAGAGCTGTTGGGCTTTTATTTTGGGAGATGCTGTGGTAACTGTTGTGTGGTAATTGTTGTGTCCAGTCCCTCCTGTATCAGCCTTCTCCCAAAAAGAAGGTGGTGGAAACACTTGAAGCCCAAATTTCAAGTCACTTCCTGGCAGCCAGAGATGCATCCAGCACAAAACTCACCTCACTCCTGTGATTCTAGACCTTAATTACAAAGTAACGTGGTTTTTAAACAAATATCCTTATTTTTATTCCATCCCTGCATAACTCCAGTGGCACACAGCACCCCTAAAATGGGAATTTCTCAGCATTTTAAATCCAGTATTTTAACTGACTGGCTCAGATTGAGATTGGTTCATTTACAACACTTGTCTGCATATATTTGAATATTCAATATATTGAATACCTTTGATCTTCTGAGGCTAAATGGGAACTTCATAATTGAGAGCACATTCTCAGCATGCAAGGAAAGCATAATCCTGCCATGGTCTAGAAGTGTCCAAGGCCAGGCTGGACCTGGGACAGTGGGAGGTGTCCCTGCCCGTGGCAGGGGGTGGAATTGGATGAGCTTTGAGGTCCCTCCCAACCTAAATCATTCCATGTTTCTAAGGTTTACTGGTAAAATTTTAAAAAGCTAGTCAAACATGAAAAAGTCAAAGAAAATGTACTAAAAATTGAATTTTATCTGACTCTCTCAGGTCTAACTGTGTTTGACAGCAGTAGAATCATCCTAAAGGTTTCCCAAGGTGCTGAACTGGGATGTGTCCCACAGTCCTGACAGGCACTCCTTTATGAGGGATTTATGGAGCTGCTGGATGCTTTGCATTACAATATTACACATTATTCAATTTAAACCTGGCTACAGAACTGCTGGGCTTGTTTACAGACTGCAGGGATGGTTCTGGAGGAATTCCACCTCCCTTGGAAAAAGAAATCATGGGATCACAGAGTGGTTTGGGTTGGAAGGGACCTCAAAGCCCATCTCATTCCACGCCCTGCCACGAGCAGGAACACCTCCCACTAGCCTTTATTCCATGGGTGTAGAACATAACCACAACTAAAAAGACATTTCTCCCTGACAGTAGAAAATAACACTGAAATTCTGTGTAGAGCTGCAGGGCTCTCCCAGTCCCTCCCAGCACCATCCCTGGCACACCAGGGACAATGGGCAATAGCCCAGTTTGCAGCTCACACCATCTGGCCCCCGGAATTGCCCGGGATCCCATTGCACAGGGAAAACAGGAGTGGAGAAATGATGATCCACAGCATCCCCCAGGGATCTGTGTCCTTCCTGGGGAGCTGCAGGCAGCAGCTGTGCAGTTTGCAGTCTAACAGGGCAGGATTTGTGGCGTGCTCAGCAATCACTCACTGGGGGGGGGGGGTGTTTACTGGAAAGAGAACATTTTATAATATTTAGAAGGCTGTTTACGATCATTATTTCCACCAACAGGGAAATAAAGTCCATTCGAATAAACAATTCAAATATTCAAATCAATGCAGAAAAGCAAATTTTTCGGAATATGAGGGTTTCTGAGCAACCTGGTCTAGTGGAAGGTGTCCCTCCCCATGGCAGGGGCTGGGAGCTAAATGGCCTTGAAGGTCCCTTCCAACCCAACCATTCCATGAATGGTTTTCATCTCCTTCAGGAATTGTTCCCCCTAGGCCAACTCAAAGGTTTGGAGCCATTGCAACCTGGGATGGTGGGAGATGTCCCTGCCCGTGGCAGGGGGTTGGAATGAGATGAGCTTGGAGGTCCCTTCCAACCCAACCCATTCCACGATTCTGTGAGTGCCTCCTTGCTGCTACGTTATACATTCCATCAGACCCTGGTGTTTTGGGTGCTGTTCCTGTGGGTTTTGGGGTCTGGGAGGATCTGCTACGTTATATATTCCATCAGACCCTGGTGTTTTGGGTGCTGTTCCCATGGTTTTGGGGTCTGGGAGGATCTGCAGCCCCGCAGTGGTGGCACATGGCGAGGGGCTGATGTTCTGGAGAGGGGCTTTGGTAGAAACCCAGCACTGGGTTCCTGATGCTTCCACCAAACTGGCCAGTCTGGGGTCCAGTTGGGGTTTGTGGTGAGGGCACTGTCACCCAGTTTGAGCCAGCTGAGTTGCTGAGGGCACCTTTGGGACTGGCAGGAATTCTGTCAGGGCGTGGTTTATGGAAACGGGTGGGAATTTGGGAAGGGTCAGCTCAGGGGTGGCACCACCAGAGGAAGCTCCTGTTTGGCACCAAGACCCCCTGGCAAAGGGTGTCCTCCCTCACCCTTCCCATCTGTAAAGCTAAAATACACACGTTTTTATTATTATTTGTTAGAAAATGTGTTTGTGGTGAAGAATCAACTGTGGCCTTTGGGTTGTGCAGGAGGTGCTCTGCTCTGGGGACCATTACAGTGATATTTGAGTTATTGGAGCAAATTTATATATAAATAGAAATAACTTTTATATATTCACGCTATATATTATATTTATTTTTTATATATATAGTATTATTACATATCATTTACATATAAATTATTGGTTACATCCACACTGATCTGAAAATGAGGATCACAATTCCTGTCCCTCCTGGGGCAGCACTTCTTCTCTAAAGAAAATCTGTGCTATTTCCCACTTATATTTCCACCTCTGGAAGCTCCCGGGGAATTATTTTCCCAAAGTTCCAGGAATCATCTCTCCTCTGACTGCCCCAAATCCCTAGGGGGGGGGATGTTTTGTGCCCTGAGAATTTGGAGCAATAAAACAACATCCGTCTGTCTGGGTGGGAATGTGGAAAGGCAACTTCCCTGCTGACAATCCCGGAGCTTTGCACTGTGTTTTCCCAGAGAACAACTTAAAAACTCGGTGTTTCCTTCAAAACTTCATCACCAAAAACCTGGAAGGCTGTTGAAACCTTTTTCTCCCCTCCCTTTTTCCCCCTTTCCCCCCTTTTTCCCCTTCCCCCCCTTCCCCCTTTTCCCGCTTTTCCCCCTTTTTCTCTCCCTTTTCTCCTTTTTTCCCCTATTTTCCATTTTTTCCCCCTTTCCCCCCTTTTTTCCCCCTTTTTTCCCCCTTTTTAGCCCCTTGCTGCCCTGTTTCTTTTCTTGCCCTTTCCAGTTTATTTCATGTGTTTCCTTTCTTTTTTCTTCCCAGAAATTCTCCTCCCCTCTGGCTCACTGATAACTTTTAAAGGAATACATGGATTCATTTACTCGGGTCCCAAGGTGAAGGAGTCAAACTGATTCCTGTCAGTGGGAATAAAAGGACCTTGGAAAATGATAAAATTTTATTTTATTTTATTTTATTTTATTTCCTTCCCTTTTCCCCCCTTTTCCCCTTTTTCTCTCCCTTCTCCCTTTTTCCTCCTTTTCCCCCCCTTTTCCCCTTTTTCACCTCTTTTCCCCCTTTTTTTCCTCCTCTTCTCCCCCCTTTTCCCCTCTTCTCCCCCTCTTCCCCCCCTTTTCCCCTTTTTCCCCCTTCCCCCTTTTTTCCTCTTTTTTTCTCCTTTTCCCCCCTTTTTCCCCTTTTTCTGCCCCTTCGCCCCTTTTTTCCCCCCTTTCTCCCCCCTTTTTCCCCCCTTTCCCCTCTTTTCCTCTCTTTTCCCCCTTCCTCCCTTCCCCCTTTTCCCCCTTTTTCCTCCTTTTTCTCCCCCTTTTCCCTCTTTTTCTCCTCTTTTCCCCCATTTTAGCCCCTTTTTCCCCCTTCCCCTCCTTTTTCCCCCTTCCCCTCCTTTTTCCCCCATCCCCTTCCCTTCTGAATGTTTTATTTCCATGTAATTTATTTTTACTGATTTATTTTCCTTTCAATGTGTTTTCCTTTTCCACAACAGTTGATCTTCCCTCTCCCAGTCAAATCAGACTGGTTTTCCCACTCCCTTGCTGTCAAACATTCCCTGTTATTTTATTTTATCTGCCCCAATTTTCTGCTTGTCCCAAATCACCTGTTGGGAGGTAAAAAGCTTTAATGGACCAAATCCTTTTCCAATGTCCTTGGACTGAACTTCCCAGCGAGTGTGAGGGTTATATTTCATCTTATCAAACCCATTCTTTGCTGTATCATACTCCCACTAAAACCTTGCCATCTGCTGGCTTATTGTCTGGAATTTTCCAGGGAAAAGAGAGTGGAATGGAGGACTGGAAATATTTATTGCTCTATGACATAGGGGCAGTCACACAAGTGGATGTGTTTCATCTCAGGGTGGCATTTCCATATATACATAAATATATTTTTTTTTCAGATATATATCTATATATAACATAGACAGATGAAAGATTTATATATCCCATAGGATGACATTTTAAGTTAATAAGGAATTTTGGCTTCTCCAGTGAGAAGTACAGCTCCTTTTGTTGCAACCCCTGTGCTTGGGGAAGGGATGTCCAATCAAAGAGTGTTGAGGAAGGGTCTGGGGAGCAGCCAAATTGTGGTGTGAGAAAGCAGATGGGATCCACGATGGGAAAGGGCTGGAAAAATG